CAGGTCTCAGGCTGGAGGACAGGAAAAGGGAGCCCCAGGCACCTGCAAGGACGGGGAGAGCATGGAGGGGGCGGAGCTTAGGAGACAACCCGGCCAGGTTGATTATGAACTCTGGGCTCATCCCGGAGCTGCTCGGGTGGACCTGGCCCCCCCCAGCCAAAGTCTGTTAGAGCCGAGCACAGGGGGAGATTGTCACCTTGCCGCAGACCTGCATGTGGCCCAGCTGAAGAGTGCTGCACAGTCAGCACTCCTCTGATGGGGGAGGGGCCACCGCTCACAGAAAGCAGGTGGAATGGGAGGTCTGACCCCCACCAAAGTGGTTACCGGCAGCATCAGTTATCCACGTAATGCCTCCCAGCTCTGAATGCACCTTCAGTGTACGTACTCTGTGAGACACAAGGGAATGCCTTCAAGTATTCATCCTGTAAAAATTAAAATTTCCCAGTAGAGGACAGTGTGGTAGGAAGGGGCTTCATGCCTCTTCGAGTGCGGACTGGGCCTCAGCGGTGTGGACACCAGTTGGAGCCTGCCCCAGCCACGGGCTCGGAACGTGGCCCCTTTGCAACCTGGCAGCCTTGGCTAGCAGTGGCCTTGCTGCAGCTCCTTCGGCCCAGAAGACAGAGCCCTCGTGGAGTCCATGTGCTCGGAAATTCTCCTGTCCCTGCTAGTGCCTGGGCCTCCTCTGCATCCACGTGGCCTGCACACAGCTTCCTGTGGTCCGATGGGTCACAGACCAAGCGGCTGCTCCACCTGCCATTCCCTGTGTGGTCCGCGCTCTGAATGCTGCCTGCTCCTGCCTGCACCTGGGCTCCCCCCGCCTGCCCCCGCCACGGTTCTGGTCAGCTGGCCTTCCCCCCGCTCTCTAGGGGGTGGCCTATCAGTTACCCAGCCAACCAGAGCAGCCCGACCAACCAGGGACCTCTCTGCTGTCCAGTGGGGAGAACCACAACTTCTAAAAGGAGGTCTGAACCCTTTTCTTGGGTGCTCTCCCTCTGCTCTGGGCAATGAGGGGAATGATAGAAAGTATTTGCAAAGAAATAGAAGATGTAAAGAACCAAATGAAATAAGTAATGATTGAAATAAAATACTCCATGGATAGGCTGACACAACATAATGGAGATGACATAGGAAAGGAGAGGAAAGCTGAAGATAGGTTGCTAGATATTAGCAATCTGGAAACAAAGAGAGGAAAAGAGATTTACAAAAAATAAACAGGGCCTCAAGAATCTGTGGAAAAATATCAAAGACCTAATGTTTGTGTTATCAGAGTCCCAGAAAGAGGGGCGAAAGAATACAGTGCAGAAAAAAATAGTTGAAGAAACAATAGTTGAACATCCCCCGTTTTGGCAAAAGGCAAAAAAGGCAGTGACTCAGTTCTAATGAAGAGAGTATGGTGGAAGTGATGGTGTGTGAGTTCTGCGACTAGGTCCTACAAGGTCTCTCTCCCCGCGCGCCCCCCATTCCCTGGTTGGGAGAAATCAGCCACCATGTCATAAGGGTGCTCAAGCAGCCGCAAGGAGAAGCAACTGAGGCCTCCCGCCAACAGCCACAGGAGCGGAAGCTGTCTCACAAGCAGATCCTCCAGCCCCAGTGGAGGTGACTTCAGAGGACGGTAGCCCTGGTCAACATCATGGCTGCAACTTCATGAGAGACCCTGAACCAGAACCACTCCGCTAAGCCACTCCAGAGTTCTGACCCTCAGAAATTGTGACGTAATACGTGTTGTTATTTTAACCTGTTAAGAGCTGGTGTGATTTAGTTTTATAGCAATATATAACCAATGTGGTAGACAGTAAGATAAGAGGCACCTATAAAAATCAGCCTGATGTTATAGTGACATCTGGTGACTATATCTCCAGCTGCTTCCTTTGACACATCCACTTAGAATATCTCACACATATCTCAGAGAAACACGATTCCTTCTAAACTTACCCATTTAGAGTCAATCCATCCCTGGTTGCCTCAACTTCCATCTCGAGAATGACTCCACATTCATCTAGAGGTCACTCCTTTACGCTTCCCGTTTCCTCGCTCTGCCCGCCCCGTATGCAGACATGCATGCACACACACTCTGATGCACACATTCTGGTGCACACAGATATATACATACACACTCCCTTGTGCACACATCCAATTCATCACCTAAGTCTTAGAGGGCGTGTGAGTCTCACCGCCAATTTGTATCGCATCTGGCCTCGGCTGTGCAAAACTCACAGCTGGCCTCCTGCCTTCCCACCCACCCATGTCCAATCCATTTGTCACACAACAGTGACAGTCATTTTCCAAGAGCTAGATCATGCTGCTTGCCACCTGACTCAAGTCCTCCAAAGCCTTCCCTTAGGAATGAGAGGGAGACCCCAGGCCCTCCCAGGGCCCAGTAGGTCCCTGGCACCATGGGCCTTGGGCCAGCCCCTCCCACTCACGGGGACCACCCTCCTCAGTGCGAGTGCCCCCAGCTTCTCCCACCTCGGGCTGCTCCAGCCTGTCCGGCCGCTGTTCCCCGCTCACGCGGCTTCCTGCACACGCGCACTCGGAACTCAGCTCCGGTGTCCCCGCCCTTTACCTGAGGCAGACCCACCTGTTGTTACGTCCTCTCTCAGAGTCTTGCTTATTTACTCCACAGCACATAATATGAGTTAAATTATTTGGTCCTTTGTTTGATTATACTTTATCTGCTCATGGACCCAGCTGAGAAGAGCCACACTTTAGGACGGGAACAGCCACCTGGGAGGCCCCAGGCTTGGGCTCAGAGCCCGGTCCCCCCACGTCAGCTGCCCCGCCCCCCAGCACTGAGCAGTCAGTCACTCAGGAGCAGCGGCTAGAAGGCTCCAGATGCGAGATCCTGCTCCTGAACCTCTGCATGGAACTCTGTGCTCTGAGCAGTTAACGAGGTGGTACATCAGCCTTTGATTCCTGGGAACCCTAAATACCTGGCATTTAAGGGCACGCACTAAATGCACAAACATAAACATCCTTGCCTCCGAGGGGCTGTTGTGGAGAGGAGGCAGATGCTGACAGGGTACATTTCAACGCCGCAGTGCGAGGGTTCAAGGCCGGAGACTGCCCAAGCTGCCGTGGGGGAGACGGGGAGGGATGGTCTCAAGGGCGGGGCGGGGCGCGGAGAGCGGTCCTGCAGGGACCGTGAAGAAAGGGATAGTTTTCCACTCTCCCTCCCACCCCAGGTGTGTCAGAATCACTTTGCAGGCCCATCCCCGCTCCCGAGCCAGAGGCCATGCCTGGAAAATATGTGTCTGCTGGCACCAGAACACATGTCTTCACTCAGCAGTCATATGCCAGCGTACCAGGCCGGGGGGCGGGGGGGGGGGTGCTTTCTGGTCACCTTGTCCTCTTGACAAATGATAACCCGACGGGGAGGGCGGACGGGGACAAGGCTAACATCTGAGAGAAGCTGTGGCGGAAGGATCTAGGGAGTCTGGGAGGCGGCCCAACAACGGCAGCGGGGCAGGCGTCAAGCCCTTCTTGGCGCTCGGTCGCCGAGGCCTAGAGGGTCAGCAGCAGAGGCAGGCAGCAGGGAACGAGGCTGGAGTCACAGGGTCATCCGAACTAGCCATGGGGAGGGAGGCTTGGCTCCCGCCCTCCCCAGCTGCCCCTCAGAGTCCCCACGGTCCCTCTCTCCTTGGGCAGACCAGCCCCCGGCCTTCCTCCCCCGCCTTCCAGGCGCATCTCCCTTGCTGGACCCAAGGGAAGGACAGTGACCTGTGGGAATTTCTGGCAACGTCAAGATACAGCGGGGACCATATGGCAGACAAGGGGCTTTAGTGGCGCACAAATTCCATTCTGTCCTCACAGGAGGCTACTCTCTGGACCCCAGAGTGAGTTTACAGAGAGAAACAGGGGGTAAATAGAGGCTACTTATGCAAGCGAGGTCAGTATAGCTGCAATATTTCAACCAAATTCTGAATTAAATTACATGGTATGTCACATGACCAGGTATCCCTGGGGACACTCATTATGTTAATGAGAATTTGTTAAGCTAGAAAGGGAGGGCGAGGCACAGAAGCTCCACACAGATGGGATTCAGCGTGGGGTCTGAATGGGCCTGCATCGCCCCGCCCCGCGCTGCTGCCCATCCCGAGACGGTGATCTAACCTCTCCGCCCCTCCGCGTTCTCACCTACAACTAATGTGACAGCAGCTCTGAGCTCACAGGACTGGTGAGAGGATCCCGCGTGACAGTTGTGTGAAGTGCCTAAGACAGTGCCCGGCCCCTAGTAAAATAATAATATTTTAATACAATATTAAAATAAAACAAATCAAGACGGACATTGTCGCCAATTACATATAAGACAAAAACGAGAGGTACATGAGCATCGGGGGAATTTTTCTCCCCGGGCCTGGTTAGCAGCGGTGGCTCGGGAGAGCGGCCCAGCCCTGAGCGATGGGAGAGGCTTGGGTCCAGCAGGAGAGCCGCCAGCACGGCCGGCCGGCCAGCTGCCTGCAAAGGCGGGCAGTTCTCCTCCGGGTGCCCGAGCCCTTTTCCACCCTTGCCCCGCAGCCAGGGCGGGAGACAGTCTCCGAGGGGAGAGGCTTCCCCGGCGGCCGTCAGTCGTCCCTTTCAGGGCACGGAAGAACACAAACAAAGCTGATTTCTCTTCCCTGGACAGCACTTGGGGCCACGAAGTTTTGCGCTCGGCCTTGGGCACCAGGGCAGCGTGCTGGCAGTACCCACTACTCACGGAGCAGGAGTCCGGCGACCCCGCCACAGCAGCCGCCCGGCCTCCTCCCCGCAACCCCATCCAGTTCTAGTCCTCGCCCTCAAACGCAGGTTGCTGTATAACCCTCCACCCTGTGTGTCCCGCTGGGGCTGTTTACCACTGTCCTGCCCTGGGAAAAACATAAACAAGGAGCACACCGCCCCCATCCTCCCGGCAGGTGCCACACCACGCCACCCTCCCGGTCCCCGCCATCTCCGCGGGGTCCCGGAGCAGCCGCTGGCTCGCTGGCTCGCGCCCCTGCGCCCCCGCCACGATGGCCACCTACCCGTGACCGCGCTGCAGCCCGAGCCCCTGCGCCGCGCCACCCTGGAGCCGGAAGCGCTCCAACTGCCCGAGCCTCCGCCAGTGCGCTAAGAGGCTATATTTGTAAGCTGACAACCTGATCTGCAGGACATGTGCTGATAAACTATCTATCTATTCTATGTGACTCAGCCCGGCATGAGACAAAACAGAGTTCGGAGGGGAGGGCTTGGCACTGCGCAAACAGCCGGCCCGCCAGGGTGAGCCCGTAACCCGGGATTATCTGCACCTCCCCGGCAGGTGGCGGGGCCGCTGGACGATGGAAATCCTGAAGCGTGTGCATAAAGCAGCCAAACAAGGGAAAGGGGCCGTGTCTCCCAGCTCCAAGCGAGGAACCGCACAGAAAGCAAGGTCAGAAAGCCAAGGGACCCTGGGAGTGTAAAATGTTTTCTCAACGTGTGAAGCAACAGATGTGAAGGTCTTGATTTTTATTCTTACGTGATTTCTTTTTCCTTTTTTAATTGCCTAAAACAGGTTCTCTTTAGAGATTTTACTAACTGGGAAAACATGACTTGTTAATATCCAACACTGTGACAATTTGACAGTTAATCATTAGGAATTAAGTATCCTGTGCCCAGTCCACACAACCCCCCACCCTTTGCCCTAAACAGAAAACCGTCTTTGTCTAATATATGCACAATAGCTCTAATTACAAAATGGCTCAATTTTGAAAGGACTTACTATGTAGAACATTTTCTATTTGTTGGCACTTACAATTGGTGGCATTTATAATTGTTAACACAATTAAATTATTATTTTACATTGTATATTAAATTGATGGGGCACAAAAAATAACCCTTGGGACAATAGTAAATCAGACCTCCAAAGTGTTGTATGTGCTTTCTACTACTTAGAATTTTTATAATTTTTCTCTTTTGATAAATAATGTAAGTTATCTATTCAGTAATTAATGTTTGGTTTGGGTTTTGTTTTGTGGTATTAAGAACCAAAGAATATAAATGGAAAAAGTGGTTTCAGTTGAGATGCTATTTAAATACTCTCTCAGTTTATGAGAGCTAAGTATTCAAAAGCTTAATTATATTTAAGTGGGAAAAATATTTTTCCCCAAAAAATTCATTCAAAGTTCAACAGGATGCTTTGATGATGTAAGTAAGGAAGAAGTGGGCCATTGGATAGCCCAGGCTCCTTCGACTATAATGTGTACCCAAATAGGACTGAGAAATTTAGCAAATAAAAATGCTTTCAGGTACATTTGTATTTCAGATAAACAAGTAATTTTTACATAACTATGTCTCAAATATTGTGTCATACTTATAGACAAAAAAACTATTTGCTGTTTATTTGAAATTCAAGTATAAGTAGGTGTTCTATATTTTATCTGGGAACAACTCCACCCACACCACCAGGGAGCAACTGCTTAATGTGTATGGGGTTTTATTTGGCAGTGATTTAAAAGTTTTGGAATTGGGTAGAGGTAGTAATTGCATGACACTGTGAATGTAGTAAATGCCATTGAATTAGTCACTTTACAATGGTTGATTTATGCTGTGTGAATTTCATTTCACTTAATAAGCAAATAATAAATAGAATATTATATATAACAATATAATTATTCACTCTCATATGATTCTTTATGCTGATGATCCAAAGGACTCTATAAACTATGAGACTTGGTAAATTTTATGGGCTGCATTGGATCACCCCAAAATTTATATGTTTAAGTCTTAACCTCCAGTACCTCAGAAATAACTGTTGGAGACAGGGCCTTCAAAGAAGTAACTAAGATATCACCTATAAGCAGAACCTAGCCAACAAAACAAAGAGGCAAGGAAAATAAGACCAGCAACACTGAAAGGAAAAGAAACCAACAGAGACAAGAGGGAAGGAGGGAGGGGTGGGTGGGGGAAAAGGAAGGGAAGGAGCAAGTCAAGGAACATACAGCAAGGACTCATGGACAAAACCAAAGGGGGGAAGGATTGAGGGAGGGAGAGGGGGGAGGGGGCAGGGGAAAGTGGTGGGGGGAAGGCAGAGACAAATGTATTTGGAAAAATAAATTAATTTTTTTTAAAAGAAAAAAAGAAGTAATTAAGATAAAACAAGGTCATATGGCTGGACCCTAATCCAGTATGACAAGTCTGCTTATAGGAAGAAGCGCTTAGGACAGAGATGTGCCCACAGAGGAGAGACTGTGTGAGGGGGCAAGGCGGCGGCCACCCGCAAGCCAAGGAGAGAGACCTCAGCAGAAACCAAACCAGCCCACAGCTTCATCCTGGACTTTTAGCCTTCAGAGCTGTGAAGAAAGAAATTTCTGTTGTTTAAGCGAGTCGGTCTATGGCATTTGCTGTGGCAGCCTAAGCAAACTAATAGAATAAGTACATTTCATAAGGTCAGCTGGATATGAGGCCAATATAAGTATGTTACCACAAAGATGGGAGTAAAAAACACCATTTCCTTTAACATTAAAAAAATATATATTTAGGTATAACCTAACAAAAGTGTACAAACCTCTATATAGAAAACTATAAAAATTACTGAAAGAAATTAAAGAATACCTGAAGAAATCTTCATGGCCTAGGAGACTCAATATGATGCAAATGTTAATTCCAACTCCCCTTTGAAGTGTCCAAGCACTCTTGTCAAAATCCCAACAGAATTTTTTGGAAAGTTAGAAACTTATTTAAAGAGTAGATGGAAATGTAAAAGAGCAAATATAGTCAGGATAATCTTGAAGATGAAGACCAAAGGAAGAGTACTTGCTATGCCAAATATCCAGAGCTATTATAAAGTCACTGTAGTGAAGACAGAATGGTATTTGCACAAGCACACCAACCAAACAGAGTAAGGCATAAGGAAACAAGCTCACACACAGTCAGCTGGTATGATGAAGATGGTATTGTAGAGCAGTAATATAAGGATGACTTTTCGCAATGAAGGGTGCTGAAGGACTAGGGCATGGGGCCTATCGTAAGAACTGTGTAAGCTGACCAATGGTTGCTAGACTTATTATGGTAACTTTAAGTATATAAATGTTGGATCACTATGTTGTACACCTGAAGCAAGTATTGTGTATCAACTATAATTAAAAATAAATTAAAATAAACAAATGGTGCTGAATCTTTGTATAGATTCAATGCAATGGAATACTATGCAGCAATGAATATGAGCAAACTTCTGAAAACACCATGGATGACTCTCACCAACTAAAGTAGAGCAAAAAGAAGGAGATACATCTACAATTATACAAAGTTCCAAAACCATGGAAAACCCAACCTATGGGTTTAGAAATCAGAAAAGTAGCGAGCTTTGGGGAAGAGAGGGGGTAGTGGCTGTGAAGAGGCACAAGGTGTGTTTCTGGAGTTCTAGCAAGAATCTTCTTGACCTGAGTCGTGGTTATGTGCTACTCACTTGGGGAATATTTACTAACTTGTAACCCTTATTATCTGTACGCTTTTATGAGTGCATAATATACTTCAATTAAAAAGTTTTTCAAGTATCTGTATTCATTTTATAGTTCTGTGTAACAAATTCCTGCAAACTTAGTGGCTTAACACAACATCATTTATTACCTCACAATTCCCATCGGTCAGAAGGGCAGCCTGGCTCCGCGGAGTCTCCACAGTGGGGCACACCTCAAAGTGCCTGGGACCGCCTGCGCCCAGGAAGTCTTCTCTTCTCGCTAGAGCGCTTTAATTCATTTCTGATACAGGTTGGGTTCTGTACTCCCGCCTCCCTCCCCTTGCATGTAATCCATTTCAAAACCATTAATAGCCGTGAAGAATGCTTGGATGTAAACAAATACAAAATCCACTTAGGAAGCACTTAAAATGAGATTCCACAGGTGTTGTGAAACCTAGGGGGACCTCAGCTTGCCTTCCCAAGTCTCACTCCTGGGAGTCTGTCTGCCCGGCCGGCTGTCTGCCTGGGCCATTGGGCTTGGAACCAGGAAGTGACTGCCTGACTCCAAGATTTTTGATAACACTGAGTGATACTTGGTGTAGAGCGCTGGGTCTGTCTTTTCCAAGGGGCGAGGGAGCGAGTAAGAGCTGTCTGAGAGAGCCCTGCCTCTTCACTGCGCTCAGCACAGAGTCGCTGTGGTAAATATTTGTTGCATGTGGTGGGAAGGAGAAAAATTTTGGTGAGAAAGAATTCAAAACCGTAACCACGTCTAAAAGTCTAAATCAGACTTTCCTTACCCTAACACATTTCCAGCGAACGCATCACACTCATCTCGTCTTACACAAATGGTAAACTCTGTTGGATACGTTGCCCCAGAAGAATTCAGCATCGCTTGGAATTCTTGGGATTTGTTTTTCTTCTTTGTTGCATTTCCTGGCTCAGGATGGGAGGGCAAGTTGTTTTCCTGCGGTTCTTCTCAAACTCCTGCCCTCGCCCCACCCGCACCCCCTTTCAGAAACTAGGGCTGAGACTTCCCATTTCCATCAGATGGAGTGAGGCTTAGCAAGAGAAACCCAGCCCAGGGAGACCCTGCCCTAGAGGGTGGGGAAGCTGAGATTTCCAGGAGACCCGGTTTCTGGACCACTGAGTCTGGCGGGTAAAGGGCAGGGGGTGGGGTTGGTGAAAGACAAGAAAACAAGCAGTTTACAATCCAGTGTTGACAGTGAGGTAAATTCTGGCCACAGTGTGGGGGCCAGGACCGGGGGTGGGGGTTGGCGGTGGCCACGGGACTCACAGGCCTCTCAACCGCGACCCAGGGAAGGGAGGCTGGTGCTAGAAGGCGCCTCCTAGAGCAAATGGCCCTGGGCTGAGTCTCCAAAAAGAGGCCAGTTCAAGTTCCTCTAAGAACTACCTGCCAAGTCATAGAAAAAGAAATATAGTTGACCCTTGAACAACACTGGGGTTAGGGGCACTGACCCCCAAGCCCAGCTGAAAATTCACATATAACTTGTGACTTTCCCAAAACTTAACTATTAATTGCCAACTATTGACTGGAAACCTTACTAATAGCAAAAACAGTTCACGAACATGTATTTTGTACGTGATATCTATTATATTCTCTATTCTTACAATAAAATAAGCTAGAAAAAAAATGTTATTAAGAAAATCATAAGAGAAAATACATTTCAGTCTTTACTGGGAAAAATCCACATGTAAGTGGACCCGCACGGTTCCAATCCATGTCGTTCAAGGATCAACAGTACAAGCATTCCGTAAGACAGAGGACACAACGCAAGTCCAAACAACAAGGAGATGCTATTTTTCACGCAGGGAATTAGCAACAATTAAGAGGCTCCCTAGAGCCAGCTGGTAAGGATATGGGAGTATGTGGGGGAGAGGATGAAGGAGACTGGTACAGCCTTCTTGGAAAATTAATTTGGAAGGTTCACCTTTTAACCAAGCAATTCCAGTGCTAGAAATTTACCAGCTGGCTACACTCACAAGCATTCACCAGGGTGTGTGTCCACAGAGTTCACTGCAAAATGCAGAAACACACCAAGCGTCCATTCATTGATTAAATAATTTATGATGTGTCTCTAGAGGAATTCATATGATATATCCTCCAACACACACACACACACACACACACACACACACACACACACACACAGTCCTCCCCTAAGCCCTTCTCTTCCTATCCAGTTTATATAGCCGGATTGAGCTTGCAAATTTGTGTGAGCAAGAATCCATCCTTCAAAAACCCACACAGAGATTTGTGGCAAATGCAGACAGACTGGGCTCCCAGTTGCTATTTAAGTTCACTGGTGAGAACAGAAAGCCATTAACTTGTTAATGAACGGGCGAGGTTTTATCAGAAGTTGTTGGGCCAAGCCAGGTGGGATCAGACGCCCTGCCAATCTCTGCTGGAGGAACCCCCCAGCCCAGCCTTCCTGAATGTCCCAGGAACAATGACAGGTAAGACTCGATCCATCCCTAGGAGTTCTATGATAAAAGTGGCCTTTAACCTTAAAATCTTGTTATTGTGCGGCAGAAACGGCTGTCCTTTTGGTTAACTCTTTAGTTGGGGTTTCATTCTATATGTTGTCGACCAAGCTAATCGCATCTCCAAATGTGTCCTCCTTGAATTTAGACAGACCCTGGAAGTCTGTCTTTTGAGGCGATGTTTTTGGGTTTGACTGTTCTTGGTTGGCTGGATGGTGTTAAGTCAAATGTTTATTTGTGTGATTTAAACGCACAGGTCTGCCTCCCTTGCCCCAGTTTTTAATACACAACATTGCACAGGGCAATGCGGAAACGCCCCAAGACCAAGAGCACCATTTTTCATTTTCCGTCTTCAGTGTCCTCTATGAGGAAGCGGGGAGGTGCTGCCCAGCACCAAAGAGCCCCCATTTCACAGAGTCTCCTAACTCTTGCTCTTCGGGACTCCGACTCTCCCTGGCTGGAGGCTGGTGGCCTCTGTCAGTCCCAGCAGTGACTGAGCCCAGGTGTCCGGTGGCCAGGCTAGAATCGCTGCTCAATTCCCCCACTCAGTCAGGAGCAAACTTTTGCAGTTACCACAATTACGGCCACAGATTACTGTCTTCCTTTCTCCCCCACCACACGGCGGGTTCACTTCTCCCGGCTCGGTCCCCAGAGCCCAGCCCTTGACCGGCAACACAGCAGACGCATTCAATACCTCCTGTTCAATGAACAGCCTGTGGGCCCCCAGCCCCAACAGCAAACACCCGGCCACTCAAATACGGCAGCCCTCCACCGCCTGAAACGCCGACCAGGTTCTGTCTACCCTACACGCACGTGGCTTCCTCCGCCCTCTGCACCTGGGAGGAATGCGGGTCTTTTCCGTCAGTTCCCGTCCTCTGATAAGAAGGAACTTGGTGGCAGGTGGCAGGAAGGCTGGCAGCCCCGGGGGGTGGGCTGAACTCGACCGTCGCCAGACTCAGGATCCCGTTCCTTCCTCTGAAAATGCGGAGGCTTTTGCAGGAGTCCTAGTTCCAGTTCTAAATCTTCCACAACAGCCCCCTGGGAAGAGGAAACACCACTGCTGCTGGTTTGGCCGCAGACGTGCCCGTCCTCCGTGGGGAAGACCTTTAAACCCACAAACGCGATGAGTGGCGTGGCCGTACAGTGAGACGAGCAATGCCCAGGCTCCTTCCGCTCGGCTTTGGGGGGCTGTGAGCGCTCCGCCAGGCACTTCCTTTGTTTTCCTGAAGCCCCCCTGCAGCTCCAGGGGCTGGGTGGGCAGCCGGCTACACATCGCCCTCCCCCACATCCGGCTTCCAGCGCCGGGGGCCGAGCTGCCGGGCCCCCTCGGAATGTCCGCACGCCTCTGGGAGCCGCAAGGCCCCACGGGGAGTTCAAGGACAGCGGGACCTTAACGGCCTGCGGCTGCGGGCTCGGAAATGCGGGTAGCTCTAAGTAAATAGGCTGCATCCGCCCAGTGCCCTGATAGGGCCCTCCCCCCCGCAATCAAAATAATCCGACTTTTAACTCTCCCAAGATGTAGCTGTAACAGCAAATTGCGGCCCTTCTCAGCGCCGGCGGACCCAGCGCAATGACACACGTAGACACTGACGCGAAGTGGCCTCGGTGCGGGGGCGTCCCTCTGGCGCGTGTAACGGAGATGGGTGACGAGAGAACTACCTAAAGGCTGCCCAGCTGTGTGGCTAGCAATGCCAGGTAGACGCCGGGCGTTGACTTTAGAAATTAGAATTACAGTATGTTTAGGAACTACGCATGACTTTGGACGTATTGAGTAACGAATTGAATACTGTGGGGCGCGCCTCGCCACCTGTGATGTGACCACCAAATAAGCGCGTTGAGGGTAACTGGGGACACCTCTGAATTTGGGGTTAAAGCTGGTGTCGTGGGGGCGGGGCGCCAAGGGCATGGAAGGGGCCGCCCCGCGGGCGCTGGGGGACCGACAAGGTCTCAGTGAACCCCGGTGCCAAGCGGGAACGGCCTCCACGCCGGCCTGCCGCGTTCCGAGAGCTTCTTCCTGGGGCAGGCCTGGAACCCAGCCGCGGACCCCCGGGGGCTGCGCCCCCTCCGGCGGTCCGCCAGGTCCGCGCAGCCCCGGGCCGGCCCCTCGCGCCTTCCCTGGCTTCCTTCCAGCCTCCGCTTGCAATTCAGGTCCTGGAATTTACCCGCGGTCACGTGAGGTCAAGAGCCCCTCGGGGACCCTTCCTGGCTCTGAACGCCTACCTGCAGGGCCAGCTGCCACGCCTTTCGCCCCGCGCCGCCGCCTCCCTGCCCCCCTGCCCCCCCTCCCCGGCACACACACTTAACTCCCCACCCGCCCACCTGAGTATGCAGAGCACGCGGCTCGACACTCCTTTCTTGGAACCACAAAGATGAAGGCAAATTTCAAGAATTAAAACTTGGCAATAAAATACCCCACATCTTGAGAGTCCCATAGGTGGTGTTTAGAATTTCCTGATTAAAACAATTACTTCTCACCCCTCCTCCAACCTGGAACCACTCAGTGGATGGTGCAATTGAGTTGCCTTTTTTTCCCCCAGAAAGTAAATCTGATATTTTTAAGCCGCAACTAATGGTAGATATGAGGCCTGGTTAACCTCAGTTTTACAAGACTCTGCCTTTTCCACTCTCTGGGAGGCCCTACCTCTACCCCTGAAGAGGTTAAGCGCTGTGATAGGCGTGGGTCCCGCCTCGCTGCCCACCTGAGGGGAGGAAGGAGAATCCCGGGAAGGCTGAGCCCCTGGATAAGGATTGGGGCGCCTCCCGCCCACGCCCCGAGCCTTCGCCACCCCCACCAGTTGCGCCGGACATCCTGACTCCCGCTTCTCCTAACACCTGAGAAATGCATTATTTCTCATCTGGGATATTTTTCTTTTTAAATTCCCATTTGCATATCGGGATATCAATGAATTAAATCCATGCTAACATTTCTCCTGAATTGTTAGGCGCTGTGGGCTGCAGGAGGATGGAGTGCTTCTCTTCCAGGTAGGAACCGTCTTTAATGGGAACTTTTGATTAGCAGCGCTTGCCCATGTAGGAAATAATGCCCTACGGTTCTCTGTTGTTTGATTTCATCTGCTCAAACCTTAAAAAAGCGGCCAACAGTGCGCCTGTTTTTCCTGAAAGACCTGGCACTTCACTTAATACCCAACTTTGCCCTTGGCTTTTAAGATTTTCCATCAGGTTCATGGCTCTGCCTGTCACTCGTGTTTTTCGACCCTTGTGTAAGAAAGGGTCAAATATTACCACCAAATTAAAAATCTGTTTCTGAGAAAATTAAAGGCATAGACAGAGTCAACATTTGCAAAACCCATTGAGAATAATGGGAAAATTTTTTTAACCGAAAAAGCTTTCAAATGACTGGTTTAAATGAAATAGTAAAACGTGATTTGTCTATGACACAGAATGTTATGCCGCATTTTAAAGTTCGTATATGAAAACTACGTAAAGGAGAAAAATATATGTGACGTAGATGATAAAAGACTTGTACCTACCTAAATCAAGGTGCGTACGAGATCAGAGCCCATGAAGTAATAATACACGTTGAAAAGGGCTGGATATTAAGTGGGTTTTAGTCTCATCATTTTTCTTTTTGTTGTTACATGAATTAAAGGAAAGGGAACCGAAGAAAAGAAAGGTGATGCTTTAGAATTACTCTCGAATTTCTCCTTAGTGGCCTGTGGTCTTGTCCTTGTGATGGAAGACCCAGGTGTTAACTCCTAAGGTTTTATTTGCTTTGTCTTGCTAACAGCCTCTGATTTCCTTCGCCCAGGGTGATTTTGATCGTGGCCATTTCCAAAGCATTTGAACTGGGATTAGTTGCTGGTAAGAGACTTTGGGTGCTTTTAATCACCAGCAAGTTTCATGTGGCCCGAAACACAGACTCCATGAGTTGATTTTTGTCATTAAGGGTTAGGCCACCGTGAACTTGCACGTCTGTCACAGGGAGACCTGGCCTTCAGACATGACAGCCTCTGGTCCCAGGAGGAGCCAACGATTCGTCATCGGTCTTTCCAGTTCGTGCCCCCCATGAGAATCCAGGACAGTAAGACCCACCTGCCTTTGCTCTGAGTGATTTCACTATCCTGGTCCTCCCTGTGTTTTCTGTCTTTTGATCCTATTTCGCCTGACAGAGGGGGAGGGAACCTGCTTCTGGATCTGGGCAGATGGCTGGACCGGTTTTCGTTATGGTGGCGAGACAGGCATTGTGTATTTCCTGTCCCTGGCATTTCCTTCACCTGATTTCACATCACACTGGGGACTCCAGAAACCACCACTGGCCTTTGCATGAAAAGGCACAGGTAACAAAAGGAACACTACAAACCAGACTCTTACTCGGTGAGGTTTACAACAGTTAGTCGTCTAACAGCACTTTCAGGAGGTTTTGGCCTTGGCGCTGTACTAGGCTTTGCTACCAGGAACTCAGCTTTTCACTCCCTGCCCGCTCTGAGCCACCTCTTACATTTCAGGTAAGGAGCTCAACAAAACCTGCTGCCTGAACGGGGGGACCTGCATGCTGGGGTCCTTTTGTGCCTGCACCCCCTCCTTCTATGGACGGAACTGTGAGCACGACAGGCGCAAAGAGTAAGCCATTAGAAGGGGGTGCAGTGGGGAGGAGGGGGAGGGGGAAGTGGGGATTTTCAATACCGATGCATTGCCTCACCCACGCATTCTCAGGAGCTGTGGGTCTGTGCCCCACGACACCTGGCTTCCCCGGAAGTGTTCCATGTGTAAATGCTGGCGCGGCCAGCTGCGCTGCTTCCCTCAGACGTTCCTCCCGGGCTGTGGTGAGTGGCTACTGCCCTTCCTGGTTGTTAGTGAGTGGCCTGTGGGCACTTAGTTAATGGGGTCTCTGGTCTTACCTCATGGGGGTGCTAGAGACTGGCAGCCGAAGTTCTGCTCATAAAAGCCTCAAGGGCTCCAGATGGCAGTCTCCTTGGCTTCCTTGATATTTGCATCCTCGAAAGGTCGCTAGCACTGCTGCCTTTTGGATGGAGAGTTATTCCAAGTCTCTTTGCCATTTTATAGTATGTGAACGTCTATTGAGGAAAACAAGAGAAAGACTCGGCCCCGGAAAACACCAAGAGATGCTTTCTGGTGTTCCTGTCTTCAGGCAGGAAGACCCAGAAAATCTCCAGGGGGGCGGCTCAGTTAGTACCCACCCCAGCAGCAGGGTGGGTGCACCCAACTCCAACTAATGCCCTTAGATTATACCAGAGGCGTGGTCCCACTCCCATTCCTTAGGGACTTCCCGGGTTCTAGAAGGTCCCTGCATGGGCCTCCCTCCTCCCCCGCTGGTGGATTCCAGACCCCTTTCACTTTGTTGATTTTTACTGATTTGAGGAAAACAATGACAAGAAGGGCAGGGACCTAAAGGGGGACAGGAGGACAGGGTTCTCTCCCCGCCCTACCCTGAGCCAGTCCACCCGAGTTCACAGGCCTCTCCCAGTTCTGCCCCTGTGTATGTTAGAAAGTGAAACTGCTCCAGTCCAGAACGTAAGTGAAAGCAGTTGCCTCACTTGAGTTCAAGATGGGACCCCGACCCAGCGGGGAGGGGGTAACTGCGTCCGTCCCATTTGCGTCCTGAGTCAGGCCAGGACAGGCATTTGGTAAGTGTGAGTGGGATGATTGGATAGGTGGGGACTGAGTTTTCCTCCTGCAACCTGAGACCCAAAACATGCTGTGCCCTTATCCTTAGAGGCTCACTGACTTCTGCTGCCTCCCTGCAATTGACTGAAAGTGCCACCAGCTGGGGTAGGTGACCAGGTGCGAGAACACATGTCCAGGGAAGAGCAAGTTCACAGCTAGCCTGTGGCAACTGTTGTTGAAAGATTTTTTTCAGAAGTCTGAATTTGTGTAGTCAGTACTGTTGATCCCATAAACACCCTGTACTCATCAAATGCTGGGCCCCCACTGACTTTTGGCTTGTGTGGATAAGCCACGTGTGTGGGCAGCGGGATCCACTGCCGGAGGGATTTCCTTTAATGACCAAGCGTCCCTACCTTCCAGATGGCCAAGTGATGGATGAGCACCTCGCGGCTTCCAGCGCTCCCGAATTAGCGCCATCTGCATGTGCCACTCTTCTGCTGGCTGGCATCTGCCTTGCTACAGAATTAATATCAGTCGACATTTGCGGGCAACATTTGTCATGCAAATTTCATGACCTGTGAAGGCTGTGGCTCCAAGGTCCTGAGGGATGATCATTTGTTAACTGCCTTGAAGTAGTGATAGATTTCCATAATGGTCCCTGACCTTCCTTATAGGGCAAGCGCACCTCTAAGATATTGAGGGTTTGGTTCCAGACCGCTGCAATAAAGAGAATATCACAATAAAGTGAGTCACATAAACGTTTTGGTTTCCCAGTGCATATCAAAGTTATGTTTACACTATACTGTAGTCTATTACACATGCAATAGCATTATGTCTACAACAATGTACGTACCTTAATTAAAAGTATTTTGTTTCTTAAAAATGCTAACCATCATGTGAGCCTTCAGTGAGGAGTAATCTTGCTGTGAGTGAAAAAAGATTTGTTAAAAATCTTCAACTTGTTAAAAAGAAACAAACAAGTAAAAAAAGCAATATCTGTGAAGCACAATAAAGTGCAATAAATTAGGTTTACCTCAACCAACTATTCACCTATGCCCTTCCCTCTCCAAAACATTACTTAAATAAAAAAACACTTCAATCATACATTGTGCCCTAGTCCTATATTTCTTGATACTTTCTTTTGAATAATTCTATCTTCAGATTAGTAAAAGCTAATCTAATGTGGAACTGAGGCTAAAGCTTTGAGTAGGTAGAGTTGATCATAATCAAGACAGTATCTAGAAACGGAATGGAAGTGTCTATAAGGAGAGCAGGTGAGAGGGGGCGGAGCACATACAAGAGGAGAAGGACTGGACGCAGATGCGGGAGGGAGGGTTCAGGGAGACCAGGTAGGGAGAGGGGGCAAACAAAGTGGATGATTCAGTCGGCACAGAGAAACAGGTTAAAAGTGAAGTCGAGGGCAGATTTCTATAGGAAGCTGTAGAAGACAAGGACACCCATTTTCTCTTAAGGCATTGTGAAGAGAATGAAGGCTCCTTGGGGAAAATAAAAATCTAAATTTCCCCAACAAGAGTGCTTAATCAGTAATGGTTTTTTCCATACCAGGCAGTTATTTTAACTGTTGTAAAAGAGAAAATAAAATGTTCCCAATGTATTGAGTTGTAAACCCAGGGACAGAGCTGCATATTGCAACACCTATTTGAAGTAGGTTGTGTGTACAGGCAAGAATGAAGTAAGCTAATCTTACTCAGCATCCCTACAGAGCAGCCTCACACCAAGCGTGACCTGAAAACGTTCCTCAGCAACATGACAAATTACTTACAAGGTCTTAGAGATCTTTGTTTCACTTTGAAAGAGTAGGGAGTCATGCTTACAAGATCCATGAAAGTCAAGGGTGTTGAGTTCTTGACTGACCCCTGGTCCTTGGCTTTCTTCTGAATGAAATCCATCCTGTTAAACTCCATGGTTCCCAACTGGGGGCGGTAGCAGTCACGGGGGCGGGAGGGGGGGGCAGTGTTTTGAAAGCATAGGAGTGACAGAAGTGCTTGAGTTTTCACAATAAATGAGTTAATGACATTCAATGGGAAACTAAAGCAAAGCAAAAGATAATAAATTTTTGTCCCTCTCCACATGTCAAAGGCTCTTCAATGGTGAGGCCCTCATCTCATTTTGACTTTTTTTTTTTTTTTTTTTTTTAAGATTAATGGTCTTTCCAGTTCAGGCTCTGAGTTCACCTTCTGACTTCCACCAGAAACCATGCTGACTTCATAGGTCTTGATCTCTCAGAGCTGACAGATGTTTCGTTCCTTCGTGTGCTCAGAGAACACTGGTTTCTCACTCTCTCCACTTTATGGACTATAATAAAGAACATGCTGTGCAAACAAAAATAAAATAGGTTGTGTATATGCATATGCCCAGTAAAGACGGGAAGTGTACCAACCCAAACGTGAACTGCGGCCATTTCTCGGCAGTGCCGTGACTAGTGCTTTGTGGGTGGGTTTCCTTCCCTCCGTGGGCTCTGGTGTTTTGCGTGGTGAGGGCGTGTCCCATCTGGTTTCACTTCTGGGCTGAGGAACTGGAAGAGCCGGGAGTTCCAGGCGGCAGCCAGTGTTGTTTCTGGCTTTCGTGTGTTCTGCTTTGAGGGACAAAACTTGTTCCCATCATTTAGGTACTGATTGATCTACCACTCGTGTTTTTCCAACCAAATGTCCTGCAGATGCAAAATTCCAGACGAGTGGGATTCCTTTGCAGTGCCCAATGGACAGAAGGTGAAATGGACTAAGCAAGAAGCAGCGGGGGACATCCCCCAGAGCTCAGAGCAGAAGGTGGGTGGCCCGGGGTGGAGGGCGGGTCCCGCCACGCAACTGGCACACGGGCCGTTTCCAGTCCGTGAAGCAGGGGTCACCCAGTATTGTTAGAATTCTGTGGAAGAAAATGGAACACGGGCACACAAATTGTTTTCAACAAATGGAACATTTCTTCTCTTTCTACCTGCCTGTTTACCACAGAGGGCTTTAAAACTTTTTTTTGCTCAGAAATGGAAAATTTACAAAAGGAAGGAAGGAAAACTCTAGAGTATTGAAAGAAGGCTGCTCAGTAAACGCACTGTGTGCAGCCGGGGACAGGGTTTTCCAAACCTGGGCATTCACATCCCCCCTTGCTTTGGGCCACATCATCTGTATTTAATGTTTTTCTTTATATCAACGCACTTTTTTCATTGTAAAATAAGGTATAACAGGAAACTTACCATTCCAACCATTTTTAAGGACGAAGGTCAGTGGCGTTAAGTGCACTCACAATATTGGGCAACCTGCACGTATATCCGTCTCCAGAGCCTGTCGGTCTTCCCACATGGCGACTCTCCCCGTGAAACACAAGCCCCCGTCGCCCCTCCCCCAGCCCCTGGCAACCGCCATGCCACTTTCTGTGCCCGTGACTTCGACCGTCCCAGGGACCTCACATACATGAAGTCACACAAGGCACGTCCTTTTGTGGCTGGCATTCCCCCTCCCGCTTCCGTCTCCCCGCCCTCGCCCAGACCACCGTGGGGGCGAGGCCACTCCCGTAGCTGAACCCGCGACGGGGCTCATAGATCCCGTAACACTCCACTGCGGACTTGTCTCCTCGACTGTTCCCCCAACTGCAATGTAAGGATGCTCAGCACCTGGGTGCCAACTGCTGGAGACCCTGGAGCTGCTGCTGGGTAGCATCCTTAGATGCTGTGTAGATGCAGGAAGGGAGAAGGGGTGAGGGAGGCAAGCAGGGAGCTTTCCCTATCGTCCTCCTCAGCAGCTGCAGGTGATAAGACAATTAGCACTTGAGACCACGCCTGCATTCCGTTGCGCCAGGCGGTGGAAGGAAGAACTGGCAGCGCCATTTGACCAAAGGCGTCTGCATCAGCGTCTGGCGCCTCCGGGGATCTCCACTTCCCTGCAGACTTGCCAGCTCCCTGTGCTGACGGGGGGGAGGGGGGCAAAAAAAGAAAAAAATCCCTCTGCTTTCTTCTCCTAAGCAATACAGCCGTTCTAAGCCACACAATTCCTTCTGTTGAAGGGACGATGTAAATTAACCCTTCACAGCTTAGCCCCACCTCTGTAGCGCACTCTCCCTCGCAGATGCCAATGCTAGGAACCCAAAGACGAGCGAGAAGTCATCTAATTCCAAATCACTCAGGTTTTCTTTTAATTGGGGGGTGGGGGGGAAGGGAGGAATGGCAGGCAAGGACTATGGAATAGATAAATCAGCATGTAATCATATCAATCAGGAAAAAATTACAGGATTTCATCCTCAAAAAAGTCAAAACTGACTTTGCATTTACAGGACATCAAAACAAAACCCATGTGCTATGAAAACAAAAACAAATCTCAGGCAGTAGTGGGAAAAGTCAGATGTCGATTTTTTTTTCCTAGACTTGGAGATATTTGAGAGAAAGCGCTTTCCCTCTCTATAAGGAGCCCTGGGGCCGCTGGGTCACAAACACATCAGTTAGAAATATTGCTAGGCCCGTGGGCAAAAGATGGCCTTTGTTCAACCCTTTGCCTAAGAACTGTCCCTCCAGGCATAAAGCTCTTTCCTCTCTCAGCTGCTGACAGTGACCCCGCCCACCACTAGATGCAGCCCAGCCACCGCCTGGCCAGCGGCCTGCGTCACCCCAAGTCCAAGACTCCTTCCTCCCTGTCTGGGCAGGGGAAGGAGGAGCGGGGTCCACCAAGGGAGGTCTGTTCAATGACTTTGCGACTCTATAAGCCCCTAAAAGCCCCAAGGGAGAAACATCGGGGACAGTCACTGGTGACATGCCCTCCTCTTTCCCGAAACTTCCTGCCCCATCCCCACCTTTCCCTCCAGCCTGGGAAAGATGCAGGCGCTCAGGGCCGAGGTCACTCAGAGCAGCTCTTTGGAGCTGGTTCTGAATCCAGCTGACCTCCTCTCACTTCTTAGGACCGAGAGGGACAGCCCCCTGGTGCCCACTGGTCTCCGAAGCCACCAACCACACCGAGAACGCAGGTTTGGAACGATTTGACCCTGTCCCCAGATGGCCATGTCCCCCTCCCAGCCTCTTTCCCCTTGAATATGCTGGTGGGCGGAGCTGACTGGCCTCTGGTTGGAAAGGAACATGGCTCTTGCCCTGGCCTCTGTCGGTCCCGGGGGCAGGTGCTCTCACAGCGCTGTCCTAACTACCTGCCATTTGAAAATGGCCAAAAGGAGGCTCAGGGCCCTCATTAGAGAGGCCCATGTGCACGCACATGCGTGCATGCCTACACACACCCAGTCGTATGTGCTCCTGGAGACCAGGCGCCAGCGCAGGCCATTTCTGCCTCCTCTCTGAAGGGCCAGCTTCCCCGGGGGCCTGGAGGAGGCCGAGCCAGCCTTTTCCTGACACTCGGGAGAAAGCCCTTCTGGGGTCAGACCTCTGCTGGGAAGAGCAAGGACGGTGCGAAAGAAGGGCCTTTAGAGAGGATGGAGGAGGCCAGGAAACCTCAGACGCACCCTCTCAGGCTGCCAAGCGAGGCTCGGTCCAAACCTCGGTCTTTTTCCTCAGTACATTGACTTTAGACTCGGACAGGCTGAAAGCAAATGTCAGCCCTGCATGTTACTGGCAAGTCACTTAACAGCCTGCCCTTTGGCAGGAGGAGGGCAGGGCAGGGTGCTCATCGGGGTCTCTCAGCCAATGCAGGCCATGCCTGTGGCGCCCGCTAAATGTTTTGAAAGGCGGCGTGGAGAAGGTCCGACCGCTGCGCTGCCCAGCAATCCTCAGCTCTCTTCC